CAGTCACATCAAGAAAGTTTAGTTTGGACTTCATGACTTTTGTTCTGCACAACAGCAAAGCTGTGTTCCAGTATTTACATAATCAAGAATTTATATTTCCATTTCATGGATCAGGAAGATGTGCAAAAGTTGTGATATCTCAGTTGCTTTCTCTTTCTCTTCTCTTGCTTAGCAGAAGTGCTTTAAATCACAAGATTTACTCACGCCCTCCTTCCCTCTCATGTTCTCAGGGCTGTTCGCAAAATACTTCTTTGTTTGGTTCAGACTGCAGACAGTTTTCTCTCCAGAGATAAATTCTCTTAAAGTCAGGTTTTTGGGTCTGATTTTCCAGGTGACTGAAGAAGATTTTCAGCTCAGGCTACAAATCTGCAATCTGCTCTGTTAGTATTTAGTAAAACATAACTGCAAAAATTCCTTGTGTGAATAAGAAGGGAAATTAAATGCATTTGACTCTAAATCACAGTTTAGGCCTGTCACTGTCAGACAGCAGAGAAATACTGAGTCACCATGATGGTTTTGTGGTTGGAAGCTGTGCAGCAGATTGCAGCACTTCCTGCACTCTGGATACAAAACAGAACCAGCTTCCTCGGTCATGTCTCTTCAGTGTTTCCCACAATCCTTTCTCAGAGATGTTTCAGAGTTGAGGCTAAATGACTCTGAAGTCTTCAAGACATCAACAAAATTCATCAGCTATATTTTTTATAATCAGTCTCTTCTTTAAATAGTAAATGATAAATGGCCTGTATTTGTATGGCACATTACTCAGTCCCTAAGGACCCCTTTACACTACATTCAGTCATCCACCCATTCACACACACATTCACACACACATTCACACACTGGTGATGGCAGCTACATTGTATCCACAGCTGCCCTGGGGCGCACTGACAGAGGTGAGGCTGCCGGACACTGGCGCCACCAACTCAAAAACAGAGTTAAAGTAACAGAGTCTCCCTCTTTTGCTGTTTTGTAGTGCTAGTCTCAACCCATACTCTTTATAACACATGTCCACTTAGATTAATATCATACAACTGCAGTCAAAGCTTCTTCCTCTACGACAGCAGAATTCCTCCTCCTCTTTCCTCCACCCACAGACAAAGCTGTTGATGAAACCTCTCTGTTCAGTTCAGACTACAGTCATGTCACGAACTCTCCATTTGTCATGGATGGATTCTCTTGAAGTCCTCTTGTTTTTGTTTGGGATTTGTGACGCTACATGTGAGTGAAACTGAGCATCTAATGTGTTTCATATTTGTTTGTGTAAGAGCAGCTTACTTCATCTATGGTATTTCAAATTTTGCATTGCTGAAGTTTTAAAGTTTAGTTGAATATCAGTGTATTTTGAATCAGTTCTTCCAGGGTTGAAAGGGCAGAAAACAATGTAAAAAAATCAACAACTGTTTTAATTATGTAATACTTAAATGTTTAAGTCACTCTAACTTGTGTCGAGGGATCAGCATGTTGTTAGTGTCACTTTTATTCCACTGACTGTTTCTCCAGCAATGATATTTCTCTGTAAGATCTTTTTCTATTGCTAGAATATTGTCTGAACAGACTGGTTGAACTGAACATGAGCAGGAGGAAGTTTCAGACTGATGAAATAAGACATTAAAATACCACAGTCACAAAGCATTGAAAGCTGAACAGCCTGGATGTTGTTACTTATATGATAACTTTAAAGGAACAACAGAAAATGTCTATCACATTTCCTTTCATTGCACATACAATAAATGTGTTGCTACATACTGCTATTCATCCTTTTCAACCAAAATACCATAATTATTATTCATAGTTATTGTGGTGTGACCTTGTAATCTCGTTTGACCTTTGACATGCTTCAACACCAAACAGGCTGAAAACACTTTAAGGCTAGAAGCAGGTTGCGAGGTTAACATCTAGGGATTGATAAGATTTTCACGATTCCGATTCCATTTTCGATTCTGTTTAACGATTCGATTCTTTATCGATTCTTTTTAAAAAAGGAGAACACTAAGGTCGATTAGCTTAGAACTTTGTTTTATATCTTCTCTTTGAACAAGATAGAAATTTAGGAGTAACATGGCCTTACAAACCCAGCAGTGAGATCTTAAGAGATCCACAGCCTATGGCTCTTCAATGTGGTGTCACAGGGTCCCCAGGAAAAAAAATTGTAAATGTAAAATAATAAAATAAATATTCTTCTGTAGCAATAACAAAGTATAACATAAATTATTCTGTAGCAATTACACAAGAATATCCAGTAATGTCCCTGCCTACAATTAAACACATTCACTTACCGAAAATCGGGAGCATCTGCTGTGGCAAATGGGTGCAAGCCTTTGACCACAAACTTAGTCACTGCTCGGTGACATTAGTCTATTCTGGCTTGAAAGGAGACGCTACCGGTAGACTGCAGCGAGAACTGCCAGCGAGCGCCAGCCAGACTCTGTCTCTCTCATCATGGCCACCTAAACGCGCAGTAATGGTAGATAAGGCAAATCGCGCTAACATAATATGCACTGTTAGTTGATTATTTACCTGCCGCATTAACGGGAGAGGACGTGCAAACGTTACCGCTGCTGCTGGGTTGAGATTCACGAGTCCAGAGCGGAATTAAAAACACGACATTCATTTACGGTCATCGCGTGTTTTGTGAGCAAATGCTTTTGCATATTCGTAGTGTTTCCTCCCTTAAATGAAATATCTACTTTGCAAGTTGCCCTGTTGTCATCCGTTCTTGTAAAGTATAACCAACCTTTTTAGCGTTTGAGCCGCCATGTTTCCTGCCAGGTAAATGACGCTCCGCAACGTGGTGACGTCATTCGGGGTGACTGGAATCGATAAGGGAATCGTTTGCAAAAATGGCAAACAATTCCAAGGAATTGAAACAGTGGGAACTGGTTCTCAACAAGAACCGGTTTTCGATACCCATCCCTATCTGCATGCTTCATTTGTGTAAAAACCTTCCAGGCATCTTTGAAGTTCTGTGAAAATTAAGTGAATCCCATGATACATAGGTTTGCAGATCCAACTTAAGGAGCAGTGACTTGAATTCATTTCCTGAACTTTAATATTTAACATATTAAACAGAGACTGTGATCTTATTTGGCTGCCTGTCACCCTCTTAGTGTCAGGGGCTGGGATCTGTGACCTAGCATTTTGAGTTGATTGTTATATTTGTGATTTCTTAGGTACATTGAAAGGATGTTAAATTCTTGTATTGTTATCAGGTTGCCTTGAGTTTTAAGTCTAGTTTATTCTATTTAATCTTGGTTATGAGTTTGTTTCTTTTTACTATATTATATGGTCTGCATTTGGATCCGTTCCTTAAACACAACGGCGCTCCCTGCAGTGACACTTAGTTTCCTTTAGAAGCATTGAGGGGACTGTTTAACAGGACTCCAGCTGGTGTTTCTGTGCAGCGATTAGCATCGCAAAGAAAAGAGGAACCCCAACACCAGGTTATACTGTAGAGTCTCCTCATAAGCCATTGTTGGTCTTATTTTTTGTGGTACTTAAATAGCAAAGCCGACTTCCTTCCTGCTTTTGCTCTTCTGTTTAGGTGCAAGAGACATACACGTAGCTTTCGTAGCTTTCTCTTTCCCCCTCTTTTTTGTAAGCAGAATTTTCTTGAATTACAAGACTTACTCTCGCCCTACTTTCCTCCTCCCATATTCTCAGAGCTGTTCACTAAAACTTCTCTGTTTCGTTCAGACTACGACACTCCTTAGAGTGTGCGAGATGAATTCTGTCAAAGTCGTGTTTTTGTTTCTGATTTGCATTGTAACATTGTAACACACTGCAGTCTGTAGGTGAGTGAACACTTTTTTAAAAGTCTCTTTTTAACCAAAAAAACCCCAAAAAAACATCAGTATGACAAGTGGGTCATATTTGAAACTGTGTCCATGTGTTTAAATGACATTTGGTTTGTAAATATTATTTCGTACAATTGATTTTTTGTGTGTTGTTCAAATCACAAAAATCACAAAAAAGAAAAGAAAAAAGAAAAGCTGAGTACACTTTCTACTATGTGATAGAGTAGACAGCCAAACCACTCAAACCTTTAACCTGCTCTAACATGCATAGATGAGTCAGCATGTTGCTTGTGTTGTTTTTCCTCTTCAAATTCCTGCCAATGGCTGGATAAGTTTAAACAAGCCTAGTTTAACATTTTAACACAGTTATCACAGCAGTAAAACAACACTGTGATTTAAAAAAAAGGGGGGAAAAATACCTAAACACATTTTTTTCTTTTTAGAAAATTTGAGAAAGAAAGCTTGTGACTTCACACCTGAAAACGGTTAATAACAAACATTTAGAGGAACTCCAGGGAGCTGAGAGTCAGTGAATTGTAAAGAGTGCTAAAACATCATGAGGTCGGTTTAAAGATATAATAAACACAGGGAAACAAGAACACCACTCCATTCATCTCTGATAAGTATGAAATCACATGTTCAACAGGAACCTTAGAACATTTATTCCTTCATTATTTGATCATTTCTACCTCAGACAAGCTCATCTCTGATCCAAAAGATAAACTTGTTCAACTTTGGTCTCTATCCCTGTCTGAGGACTGTGTCTGTGATTCAGGTTGTTTTCATTGATTCAGTTACAGTAAATAAAACAGAGGAGAAGCAGACTGTCATCACCTTCAGAGTTGGAACACAGTTCAACATCGGGTTTCTCTTTTCAGACCATTCTCTGTAAACTCTATACATGGTTGTGTGGGGAAATGCGACCAGATCAGAAACACAGATCTGAAAGTCGAGTACTGCAGCTGAGAGTAACCACACAACAGACGGCTAAAATAGAGCCTGGGTCTGTAGAAAAACATACATACGAGGCAGCAGAAAAGGAGTCTGTGTGGGTTCACTACTATGTTAACTTCTTACACGTGCTTATGCTGTTCTCGATCATATCTTCCCTCTCACTGACACTAACATAAAACTTAAAAACTACAAAAATGTGAAAAAAGCAACACCAGGATGTCAACAAGGAAAACCTTTATTCATAAAGTTCACATGAGCAAAGCCAGGTGTTATGATATCACATGTAATTCAGTCACAGTGAACTCCCTCTGATGGAGCATGAGCTTAGAACTGATGCTCAGTGGTCACCGCCCCAATATCGTCATAGTCCTCACACAATCTCTGCTCAGCATTGGTTGCTGTTGCCATGGGGATAGTCATTTTCTGTAACATGAGGTCATCAGAGAAATAATACAAAAGCAATCATAAATGATAATGATAAATTATCGAGGAGACTCAGGGAGTTACCTTTGGCTCTGCCTCGATATAGAGACATCACGATGAAAGTGGAGATGAATTATGGACAGAACACCACCAGGTGACAGACTACTCTGATCACAAGATGGAGGGTGGTAGAGTAAGGGGACAAAGCAGAGGTAGGTGGCATATTTGTAGAAGTGGTGGGCGAGGTTGTGGTTGTAGGTCTCCCTGCAGAGAGAACCCCACCTGTTCAGTTAATATGTGGATGAAGTAAGAGGTGAAATCAGAGTGAAGCTCCTCACCTGTGACAGTGATCCAGCTGGATGGAGACTCTCCATGAGCGCTGATGTCACACTTGTAGAGGCCTTCATCAGACCTGGAAACATGCTGGATGGTCATGTGACCTGTAGGCTGCTTCCTGATGAGGGAGCCATCTTTATAGAAAGCAGCTGGGAGGTTGGAGGGAGTGGTCTTTGTTTTACAGAGCAGAGTGACGTCATCTCCCTCCATCACAGGGAGGACAGGACTCTGCAGGATCACTGATCCACCTCAACACAGACACAAACTACAGCATTTCATCCATTTACACACAGCTTCATCAACACTAACTCCACACACTCAGCTTACCAGTGACTGTCAGGTTAACCATGTTACTGATGGGACCCTCTCTGGACTCACACCAGTAAACTCCACTGTCTCGTTCAACGGTGTAGCTGATGTCACAGGAAGAGTTAACTGATGTTCCCCACTCATCTCCACACTGAGTCCTGTGTTGTTTGCTTGTGTTTCTCCTCAGAGTCCATCCAGCAGAGCTGTCGTCCTCCTCACAGCTCAGAGACACAAAGTCTCCTTTAAAGAACTGAGAGCTGCTGGGACTCACAGTCAGACCAGCTGTGAGGGGGATGTTTTGGGATTATGTAAACAAAATAAATTATCTTCTTGTAGTCTGTTAGAACCACTCGAGATTCAGACTGTCTGCTTCCTGTGGTTAAATTAAATACTGATCAGTATATTTAGAAACTGGAATTTTTAAGGGTGAATATACTTCCTTTATACTTTGGAAGGTCAATTAATCAGCAGGCTTCAGCCATCAATTACTGTAGTAATTATCATCTCATGCTACAGCAAAGCATAAAAAGGACCAAAGGTATAACCCATTAACTGATTTAAATGGACTGACCTTGATTTGTTGAGCTGCTCTGCAGTGGGATCAGAACTAAAGAGAAATGACACTGAGGTAAGTTTCAGTTTGACATTCAACAGAACAGAGGAACAAACAGAAAACCACCAAACTGTGGAGAACACAGACGTTATGTGTTTGGTTGAGTTACACACTGATGAGTGAAGAAAGTAGGAAACTTCTATATACTACACAGAGTGCTGGCAATCTGTTAATATAACTGCAAAGAAAAGTAAAGAAAGTGAAAGCAAAGAAAGGAGCACTTTATAGAGTACAATTCATACCACGTGTCTGAATGTTTTTGAGGTATTTCTTTGTTTTGTAGTTTTATACTTCAGCTCCCGCACATTTTGGATTCAATCACTGTGTTCCTCAACATTTATAATAGATAAAGTTACACATCATTATATAAGTTGTTCTAACCATCTCAAGCTGCAACATTAAAACAAAACACACACAAATAAATGATATCCAATATCACTGATATAATTTGGAAGAATAAGTACTATTTCTTTAGGTATATCACTTTTTTTTTGCCTGTTTATCATTATTCAAGAAGGATTCCGACTTTTACTAAAGAGTCCAAAAACTTAACTTATTAACTTTGTTTAAAGTCCTGTGCAGCCATCTGCATAGGTGGAGCATATTAACTGATAACTCAGTGTTTCCACATCAGTTTTCTACACTGTATTTATTTGTAAAGAAAATCTTTGATTTCCTGTTGACCCCTTTTCCTTGTCTCAATAATAATAACATGATCTAATACCTCTCCGATTCTACACGAAACTCACTGTTTAAATTGGAGTACCAACAGATTTTCATAGATCATTACAGTGCACTTACAGAGCAGCCACAGCAGACATCTGTTCTTCATCCTGCTCTCGGTGATAACAGATCAATAGTTTGACCAGCTCACAGTCACTTATAGTCAAACCCTCCTCCTTTTCCTCTGTGACAGGTTGCCAGTGTTGCGGTCATCAGTGAAATGGTTTCTCTGTCAGACTGCAAAAAAGAAAAAAAAATCACTAAATGTTAAACCAAGCATTGAAAGTGGCTGAAGTCAATCAGGAAACCACAGACAACAATAAACACATATAAATGAAAACATGTCAGTACCTGCCTCATGCCTTCATTGACAGTTCCCTGTGTTCTGTGTGGCAACCGTTTCTTATATAATATGAGAGAATCTCAAAAGTGATTATCTGTGTATTTGATTAACTTTGATCTTAATTATCTCCTGTGTTGGTCGTGTTGCAGATTTGTGGAAACAATGTGGTTCTTTCTGTAGCTGACTGCAGCTCATCTGAGAGACAGTGACCTGCAGTTGTTTTGATTGCTGCTTCTCTCTGCTTAAACCGTTGACTTGCTGTCAAAAACAGGTAAAACTTCTATTACTGAGACAAAGACCAACACTGTGATTGGTTCTGTTTATCCAAAGTCATCAGTGTGGGAGAGACACATTTATAAAGTCTTTTTTTAACCCCTGACTGTGAAGAAAACAGGAAAGGTTTTATGCACGTTGAGATGTCACTGTCTTTCTGACAACACTGCACCCTTAAATATTACATTGGGGCAGCAGCCTAAACAGAGAAGCCTAAGACCTCCTTCTCCCCTGGGCACCTCCTCCAGCTTGTCCAGGGGAACAAGAAATCGTTCCCAGGCAAGCCGAGATACATAATTTCTCGAGGGTGTCCTGGCTCTGCCCCGGGGCCTCCTCGTGATGGGACGGTCTGAAACACCTCACCGAGGAAGCGTACCTTTCAGATCCCAGAAATACCTATTTTCAATGTGGACGAGCAGCGGCTCTACTCTGAGCTCCTCCTGGATGGTCAAACTCCTCATCCTATCTCTAAAGGAGAAGCCAGCTAAGCTTAGGAGAAAGCTTATTTCCACTGCTTGTATCTGCGACCTTGTTCTTTCAGTCACTACCTAAAGCTGTTCCTGTTACGGCTGTGGCCATAAGAACACTGTGTGGGCTGTTTGTTCTGTGTCCCTTTACTGTGTTTAAGACTCTTTACAGGTCCCTCCCCTAATGAAGAGTAGTGAGCAGCTGATTGGACCATGGAACAGGTGACCACATTCAAAAAGCCGCTCTGACAGCTCCAGGGAGAGAGAGAGAGAGTGTGGAACGAGCGAGTAGCCTGACAGCCGTCGCAGTCCTGACCCTGGTTTTCCCAGCCTGTGTTTATCTTGTGTATTTGTGGGAGTGTGAATTGTAAAAGCCGCTCCTAGTGCTTTAGCTGAGAGCTTAGGCACTCGTGGGCTGAAGCGGAAGGGGTGAGCTGCCTTTTCTTTTGGAATTGTTTTCTCCTGTTTTCTTGGTCAGGGAGCGAGGGATAGCTCTGTCATTTGTTTGTTCTTTTTTCTTTCTTAGGGTTTAGTTAGTCTTTTCTGGTGGGACTTAGTTGGTTTTGTTTATTATTTTGGCCTGGGCTCACCCTGGAGCTATGCTTCTTGTCCTTAAATAAAATCACTTTTTTTACTCACAACTGGTTTGGATGTTTGGCTTGGGAACCAGGGCGGGGATTTGTCTCTCTCTCCTCCAACCTTATGTGCGTCCCTACCCGCCTAGACTAGGGGCGTAACATAAATGGGGGCTCGTCCGGGATCGGTGGAGGGTCCGAAGGAGGGACAGCTTCGGCCTTCTGTCTTCGCTGGAGGGTCCGAGGACCGCTTCAGCCTCCGTCTGTCTTCGCTGGAGGATCCGAGGGACCGCTCCAGCCTTCATCCGCCTTCGCTGGAGGATCCGAGGGACCGCTCCAGCCTTCTGCAGCTGGTGGGCTGCGTGTCCGTGTGTGCAGCTGGTGGGTTGCGTGTCCGTGTGTGCAGCTGGTGGGCTGCGTGTCCGTGTGTGCAGCTGGTGGGCTGCGTGTCCGTGTGTGCAGCTGGTGGGCTGCGTGTCCGTGTGTGCAGCTGGTGGGCTGCCTCATCCGCCTTCGCTGGAGCGTCCGAGGGACCGCTCCAGCCTTCGTCGTCTGCTGGAGGGTCCGTGGGACCGCTCCAGCCTCCATCAGCTTCGTCTGCCTTCATCCGCCTTCGCTGGGGGGAGGGTCCGTGGGACCGCCCCAGCCTTTGTCGTCGCTGGAGGGTCCGTGGGACCGCTCCAGCCTTCATCCGCCTTCGCTGGAGGGTCCGAGGGACCGCTCCAGCCTTCGTCGTCTGCTGGAGGGTCAGTGGGACCGCTCCAGCCTCCATCAGCTTCGTCTGCCTTCGTTTCAGCCTTCGTTTGTCTGAATCAAACTTTTCACTTGGGGTTACATGTTTGATTTTTGGGTAGGGGCCGCCCCTGATTTTGCACGCCCTTTTAAGTTGGAAGTGGACGCCAGTGCAAACGGGGCAGGTGCCGTATTGCTGCAGGAAGACCATCATGGTGTGGATCACCCAATCGGCTATTTCTCAAAGAAATTCAATGTCCATCAGCGAGGGTACAGCACAATTGAGAAAGAGGCCCTCTCTCTGCTGTTTGCATTGCAGCATTTCGAGGTGTATATCGGTGGCAGTCCCTCGCCTGTGATTGTTTATACCGACCACAATCCCTTGGTATTCCTAATGCGGATGCGGAACTCGAACCAAAGGCTGATGAGGTGGTCCCTCCTGGTGCAGGACTTCAATTTGGAAATCCGTCATAAAAAGGGCACAGAGAATGTGTTAGCGGATGCCCTATCCCGTGTTTTCCCTTAAACATGACTGTCCAAAACATCTACAAAGGAGATGTCTTTGATTTTGGGAAGGGGGGTGTTACGGCTGTGGCCATAAGAACACTGTGTGGGCTGTTTGTTCTGTGTCTCTTTACTGTGTTTAAGACTCTCTACAGGTCCCTCCCCTAATGAAGAGTAGTGAGCAGCTGATTGGACCATGGAACAGGTGACCACATTCAAAAAGCCGCTCTGACAGCTCCAGGGAGAGAGAGAGAGAGTGTGGAACGAGCGAGTAGCCTGACAGCCGTCGCAGTCCTGACCCTGGTTTTCCCAGCCTGTGTTTATCTTGTGTATTTGTGGGAGTGTGAATTGTAAAAGCCGCTCCTAGTGCTTTAGCTGAGAGCTTAGGCACTCGTGGGCTGAAGCGGAAGGGGTGAGCTGCCTTTTCTTTTGGAATTGTTTTCTCCTGTTTTCTTGGTCAGGGAGCGAGGGATAGCTCTGTCATTTGTTTGTTCT